CACAATATTATTGCATTGTAACCAATACTCCATGAGAGGATCATTTGGGTCTGAAGTTTCACAAATGCTGCCATCAATAAAACCTAACTTATTTTTTATTCTAAGAGCTCTCTTCATTGATCTAGCCCAGGTGTGGTAATTGCTTGCATCCAGTACATGGGTTACTAACACAGCGCTACTCCCATCACTGCTATTAATGTAATAAGGGCTGCTTGGTAAGTTAGTAGAATGGGATCATGAGAATGGATTGGTGATTCGCTAGGTGAATTTGCATTGAGATTTGGATTTGAAGTTGAAGTTGAATTTGGATTAGGAATTCCGGTGTCCTCCATTATGGTTCTGATACCATATAAGAAAACAAAAAATTGGAAGGATGAATAAAAACAGAGAAAAATTGAGCGCAAATCTGTGAGAGAATTTCTTTTGATTGAATTAATTATCGTGTGTATTTTGCCATACAATTCCACTGCTATATATACACAATACAAAAGAATATTTCCTAACCAACTCTATACAACTTGCCATACAAAATGGATCTCTGCAAAACTAATTCTGCTGAAATAACAGAATGCCAATAAGCCATTATATTCCTTAAGCTACTCTTCTATCTTCCAGAACTTTCTTCCAAAAGCCTGTGGTACAACTTGTCATCCAGGTGGACTTGAGATGGATGCTGACATTGTTGATCACTAGGCTGCAGTTGAGATTTATTTTTGAATACTTAACAAAGTTACCCTTCTCAAATGATGTGAGTACAATCCACTTGTCTATTTGATGGAAGGAATTAATAGAATGAGATAGAAGGGATCAAATCCATAAGAAAATGTTGAAATGACATTGTAAATGTCAATTTTGAAAGCATAGGGATGATTTACGCAATGAGTGAAAACGATAGGAAGCTATGCCTACACACAACACACACAAAGACATAAAAAAATCATCACAGTTGATAACATTTTTGAACATTTAAACCTGGATTTGACTGCTAGCTCGTATGTTGATCCTAATTCTTAATCCCTATAAAAGTCATTGCAGTAGTCTTGCACTAGTCTACCCTAATGTGTGAAGCTAACCCTTAAAAATTACCAAGGGGCTGCCTTAGGAATAGAAGGAAAACTACCTGCTTTGATGGCAAAAGATATAACAGTGTGGACTAATTATAAAAATAAGAAGAAAGAAAATAACGTGTAATAATGCAGTAGCAAGAAAATCATGATTGCTTCAAAGCTTGGCTCGTCTTGCACGTGAAAATTTAGATCTACAATATGAATATTCCAGTGGTTACTCGCTCATTTTGTATGAAATTGTTTAGATCTGAATGACCTTCACGTTTTTATAAGAAACGATGGGAAATAAAGGGTAAACTTTACTATTGTATGCTATACGACTGGCACAAGTTGAAGGTGGATTTAATGATTCTGGATTGATATGTTAGAAGGCCGAACATTAGTTACTTTTATATTCCAATCTGGTGTACAATTTTGTGAGAGGGAGTAGAAACATGCAAGAAAGTTAATGTATGATTTGAGGGATGCATCGAGTTGTTAAAACTTATTCATGAAAATATATTTCGAATAATAATCACCGCAAGTGTACGGTTCGTTAACAAGTAATAAAATGGATTTTGAGTCCAAGTATCATCCCACAGAGATTGGTTAGTTCAATTTTAATTATCACGACCTTAACCGAAACAAGAATAATGTGATGTATTTGCTGTGACAAAATTATGAATAAATTAATCTACTTATGCAATAATGAGTAAATTAACTAAATAAAATGTAAATTATTGTAAATGCAAATTAATGTGTTTAATAAATGACAAACGTACTAGGAATATCCCAAATTTCCATGCAATAATCAGTTTTAACTCTAATTTTACACATTGACAACACACTTGAATTTTGACGAATCAATGTTCATATTTTATTTAACAATCTCTCTCGAATAATGTTAATATATGACCCAACTATATTTTTATGATGCATGCGAACATATAAAAGTGCATAAATTTTTATGAACATTTAAATATTCACATAAAGCATGGCGGTATATTTCTATCCCCTATGGGACCTTATGATAATTTATATATGCCGAACATATTTTCCTTCTTTCGAATACATAAAATAAGTTACCACATTCATACAATTATCGTGCACAATAATTGTGGAGAAAATAAAATCATATAAATCATTCAATATCAAAAACGTGTTTTTAATGTCAAATATATAAAATTAAAAAATTCATATAATATGATTCATCATTCTCGTAGCATAAAAAAATCTAGTTTAACATGTTGTGAAGAATAAAGCAAAAGATATAAATGTTGTTCATCGTCCGAAAATTCTTTAATTCAATCTTGAACTTCCTGGATTTGATCTTGATGTGTTCTTTGGCTTCTTTTGCAATTAATTCTTCATACCCTAATTATTTTTTGAAAGTTGGTATTTATATCCCTCTAAGAAGTCCCAAAAGATCTCCAAAAATCGTGCATATCATAGTTCAAACGGAAGTTTTCTTCTTGAAATTGAATTCCGAAGGAAATATAATTTTTTTCCTGACTTGACCTGGGCGGACGCTCAGTAAAAAATGGGGCGGCCGTCCAGGCATAAAAATTGGCTCTTGTTATTGAAATCTAGGGTCTGGGGGTCTAAGTAATAAGAGTAGATGTTTAAATAACGAGAATTCATACTAAACGTTTACAAAATATCAGAGCTATTTTACAACTGAAATAAAATATTACAATGGAAAGGAAATTACAACTCAAACTAAACTAATATTTACAATGTGCAGTCGAAGTTGGGCAAACTGCGGCTGCGATTGGATCAAGTGGCTAAGTAGAGCTGCGGTTCTTGACACGTGGTCATGACTTCGAAATAAACTCACAACCAGAAGTTTGCAGAGCTAACAGGCAATGACATTTTTAAGGGAGAGGTTCCTCGAGGTCCGGCTGAGAAGTCATTGAGTATGGCTAAGCTTAAAGAAATGAGTGGCAATGATATATTTGCAAATGGCAAAGTCGAATCCAAAGACTACTTTGGTGGTGTAAGCAAACCCCCGGGTGGCGAGAGCAGGTTTAGTCAATGGGTCTAAACTTCTCACTACATATTCTGTTATTGTTCATGCAATTTATTTCAGCTCCATTAGGAGGTATTATGGTTCCTAGGGATGGTAAATCTATGAAGTGTCGAACTAGGTCGTGGTGCCATTTGATCTCAAACATGGTTGAATGTTGCTTGGGCACTGAACTCAGTTCCACTCTTTACTTTCTTCTTCCAATCCTCTGATTTTGACATGTGCAATCGAATCGAAGCATATATTGGCATGACGAAAGAGGCAAAATTGAACTTCTTCCTCGAGAATTATTATATGTTGGGTATACTCGATGAGGTACTTCTAGATATCGATAAGGATGAAAAGGTAAATAAAATTTTGTCGCTAGTTATTTCGTAGTTTCTAACATTCAAAGTTCTTTTTTACTTACAATAAACTTAGATGCCCCAAAAAAGGCCGATAAGAACATTTATCTTGTGTATGTATATATTACGAGTTTAATCCCTATTTGGTGGGGATTAATTTTTAACAGATTTTGATAAAAGTAAATGAAATGTATGGTTAAAAAGTTGTGGGTCCCATAAAATGTTTAGTTAAAATTAGTTCGACTTTGACTTTAATTTAAGTCCTTATTTGAATCTCATTTTTTCAAAATTCATTTTCAATCACATTTTACGGTAAAATAATTTTTATACGTAAAGCAAAAAAAATTTCTTACTTTTTAATCACACATTCTTCAATAAACTAATATACAAAAATGCATTTTTTTACCCAAAATGGTACTCAAACACGGGCTAAATTTTAATTTGTATCAAATACGGGCTTAATGTAATTCTGTTTTAAAGTGAGAGTTACTTTCACTAGTGTGAAAGTGAAATATAAAATATATATCTTGGGAAATATAAAATATATATTTTGGGAAATATAAAATCTGCAGTTTTATAACCAAGTAGAACAATACATAGACGAATTATTAGAATTTATTTTAATTTGCATAATTGCATTTGCATTTCAGTGACCCTTAAAAAATAAAACTAAAACTAAAAACAATACGACCGACTCCGCTGGGGATCGAACCCAGAATCTCTGGTTCCGTAGACCAGCGCCTTATCCGTTGGGCCACGGAGTCTTACATGCCAGATTCCCTTTTAGTTCTTATCTGTACGATCCAAATCCAAAATCTTATGGAACCTTGTCAAGAAATATATAAATTTTGAGGGATACTACACGTGCATAAGGGTATATGCTCTGAGGTATACAAGTATCATCTTCCATGAAGTTATCTACCATTTGTCCTCCTGATTGGACTTTCAGCCCCCATCCCAACACTTTAATTTTTATTTATTTTTTTAATGTTGAAGAATTTGAACCGACAACTTCCAAGTCAATTTATTTCGCATTTGGTCCCCATTTCGAAGAATTATTTCGGGCATATTATTGGTTGTGATGTAAATAAATAACAAAGGTCGACACTAGCCTGCAAGGGGCCTAAACCACGTTTGTGACGATATGGCACTATCATTCAAAACTTTTAGTGCTCGTTTGTTAAAACTTTTTTAAAATTCTTTTTGATAGATCGAGTCTCAATTTTAATCACACATTTTTCAACTTCTATGAAAAGCTTTGTCAAAATATAAGTATCTTTTGCTCACACTGGCATTTAAACTGAAGCAGTAGGCCACAACTTAGTATGAATTTTGATATTTACATAGTAAATTGTCCCTTCGGATATCGGCTAAATACAGAAAAGATTAACACGAATCAATACAATGATAACACGCATAACTCGAGAATGAATATAGAGATTAATTTTGAAATGAGAGCATCATTTGACTATAGATTGGCATGATTGAGTCTAAACGACTTCAATGGATATAATGTCTTTTCACCTTGACAATAGAACATAATTTAAAATAGTGTTTTGCGCGTCTACACAATAAAGCTAACAATCAAACAGTCACTACATTCTTCTCTAGTTGTGCTTTCGGAGGGTGGGCATATCCCGACGAATCATCCTTAGCCTCCTTTGTTTCCTCGTATGCCGCAACATGAACACCGAGGGCAGCTCGTCCAGAGGGATCAAGATTGTTTGACCATGCTGCATCCCATTCCACGGCCTTTGCGGTACTACATGCCACACTTGGACCCCCGGGAACAGTTGACCTCGCAGCATTCTATTCAAAATGGAGAGAAGATATTGAGTACAACAATCTTTGGTATGAGTGAAGCGAGTGTGCACGTGCACATTCGCATGAGAGAGAGAGAGAGAGAAGTCGGAAGCTCTTGACATAATTCAGCTCCATATTCATTTTTTAAGATGCAGTCTTTGTAATCGAGAAAAGAGAATATTTTAATAAACTTGTATAGCAACCATGCAATTACAAGCAAACAAACGACGACCCCCAACCCTGTCTTTCGCTAAAAAGGAGGAAGCTGGAACAAGCAAGAAATGAAGAACTAAACCAGTATGCAAAACCCACCTTAGGGAAGAAGCGTTCAAAGATGGTCCGGTAGTAGTACCNGTCGAACATATTTTCCTTCTTTCGACTGCATAAAATAAGTCACCACATTCACACAACTATCTTGCAGAATAATTGTGGAGAAAATAAAATCATATAGATCATTCAATATCAAAAACGTGTTTTTAATGTCAAATATATAAAATTAAAAATTAAAAACTCATATTACATGGTTCATCGTTCTCCTAGCACAAAGAAATCTCGCCTAACATGTTGTGAAGAATAAAGTAAAAGGTATAAATGTTGTTCATCACCCGGAAAATCTTGAATTCAATCTTGAACTTTTTGGATTTGATCTTGATGTGTTCTTTGGCTTCTTTTGCAATTAATTCTCCACACCCTAATTATTTTTTGAGAGTTGATATTTATATCCCTCTAAGGAGTCCCAAAAGATCTCCAAAAATTGTGCATATCATGGCTCCTGACTTGGCTTGACTGGCGCTCAGTAGAAAATGGGGCAGCCGCCCGGCATAAAAATTGGCTCTTGTTATTGAAATCTAGGGTCGGGCGGTCAATAGGAGTAGACGTTTAAATGACGAGAAATCATACTAAATGTTTACAAATATCAGAATTATTTTACAACTGAAATAAAATATTACAATAGAAATGAAATTACAACTCAAACTGGACTAATATTTATAATGTGCGGTCGAAGTTGGGCAAACTGCGACTGCAATTAGATCAAGGGGTTAAGTAAAGTTGCGGTCCTTGATACATGGTCATGACTTCGAATAAAACTAACAACCAAAAGTTTGCAGAGCTAACAGGCAATGACATTTTTAAGGGAGAGGTTCCTCGGCTCAGAAGTCATTGAGTATGGCTAAGCTTAAAGAAATGAGTGGCAATGATATATTTGCAGATGGCAAAGTCGAATACAAAGACTACTTTGGTGGTGTACGCAAACCCCCGGGTGGCAAGAGCAGGTTTAGTCAATGGCACTAAACTTCTCACTATATATTCTGTTATTTTTCATGCAATTTATTTCAGCTCGATTAGGAGCTATTATGGTTCCTAGGGATGGTAAATCTATGAAGTGTCGAACTAGGTCATAGTTAGTTAGCCATTTGATCTCAAACATGGTTGAATGTTACTTGGGCACTGAACTCAGTTCCACTCTTTACTTTCTTCTTCCAATCCTCTGATTTTGACACGTGCAATCGAATCGAAGCATATATATATTGGCATGACGAAAGAGGCAAAATTGAACTTCTTCCTCGAGAATTATTATATGTTTGGTATACTCGATGAGGTACTTCTAGATATCGATAAGGATGAAAAGGTAAATAAAATTTTGTCGCTAGTTATTTCGTAGTTTCTGACATTCAAAGTTCTTTTTTACTTACAATAAAGTTAGATGCCCCAAAAAAAGGCTGATAAGAACATTTATCTAGTGTATGTCTATATTACGAGTTTAATCCCTATTTGGTGGGGATTAAAATCAAATTTTTAGTAGATTTTGACAAAAATAAATGAAATGTATGGTTAAAAAGTTGTGGGTCCAATAAAATGTTTAGTTAAAATTAGTTGTTGACTTTAACTTTGATTAAAATTTAAGTCCTTATTTGAATATCATTTTTTCAAAACTCATTTTCAATCACACATTTTATGGTAAAATAATTTTTATACGTAAAGCGGAAAAAATTTCTTACTTTTTAATCACACATTCTTCAAAAAACTACTATACAAAAATGCATTTTTTTTTTACCCAAAATGGTACTCAAACACGGGCTAAATTTTAATTTGTATCAAATACGGGCTTAATGTAATTCAGTTTTAAAGTGAGTGTGTGAAAGTGGAATAAAAAATATATATTTTGGGAAATTAAATACATAACAAATATAAAATCTGCAGTTTTATAACCAAGTAGAACAATACATAGACGAATTATTAGAATTTATTTTAATTTTTATTTGCATTTCAGTGACCCTTAAAAAATAAAAATAAAACAAAAAAAAAAATATGACCGACTCCGCTGGGGATCGAACCCAGAATCTCTGGTTTCGTAGACCAGCGCCTTATCCGTTGGGCCACGGAGTCTTACATGTCAGATTCCCTTTTAGTTCTTATCTGTACGATCTAAATCCAAAATCTTATGCAACCTTGTCAAGAAATATATAAATTTTGAGGGATACTACACGTACGTAAAGGTGTATGCTCTAAGGTGTACAAGTATCATTTTCCATAAATTTATCTACCATTTGTCCTCCTTATTGGACTTTCAGCCCCCATCCCAACACTTCAATTTTTATTTATTTTTTTAATGTTGAAGAATTTGAACCGACAACTTCCCAAGTCAATTTATTTCGCATTTGGTCCCCATTTCGAAGAATTATTTTGGGCATATTATTGGTTGTGAAGTAAATAAATAACAAAGGTCGAAACTAGCCTCTAAACCACATTTGTGACGATATGGCATAATCATTCATAACTTTTAGTGCTCGTTTGTTAAAACTTTTTTAAAATTCTTTTCGACAGATCAAGTCTCAATTTTAAGAGTAATGTTACTTGTAGTCGCTCACTGCAGCAGTCGCCCTATGTGGCACACACATGACATGTAATTATTTGATGCATTAATGTGGTAGTTTTTGACCACATTTAATGCATCAAATATACACTTGATATGTGTG